ATATTTAACTCTATCACAACCTGCAGCAGTAGCTCTCTTTCTGGAATGTAAAACATACATTAGCTCATGCAATGAAAAGGATGTGTTACTGATACTACTAAAAGGAATTGAAGGCATTGTAATAGGATTAACAATTGGAATGTAGCTCTTGAGCATATCTAAGTATTTTTTATTATCACGGTCATTCCATAGAGCACAACCGCTTAATTTTCGACTAGAATGTCGATGACCATTGATATAATTCCAGAAGGAACGTGGGTTGCCGTTACCACATAACTCTTTAATAGCGATGGCTCTATGTGCCATTTTCGCCTTTCTAACTGCAGACCTCCATTCTTTCAGTATTTTCATATATTCAGTGTAGTTGGCTGGATTGGCATATTTACTCATTTTTTTCTTGCAGCTTGGTATTTGCGGAAAAGTGTTGACAGGGAAGGATTCCACCAAGGTTTAGGTGAGAAGGACTCAATGTTAGGAAAGTTGGTTCTAGCAGACATGATCACAGACTGAAAGGCACTTTGAATTGATGATAAATCAGAAGCAAGATCAACTTTAGACAGACGGTCCATAAGGAAGTTGCGTGAAATGAAATTTTCTATTTTCTTGACGGAATTGTTACAACTGTGGAATATAATGGGGGAGTGCTGACTTTTGCCAATGGAAACATTGGACGTGTTCCAGTTGAAAGATAAAATAGTTGAGTTCGAGAAAGTTAGATCCAAGACACTGCTCGCTGTGCGACCGCTCCGATTACAGTGAAAGGTAGTATTGCCGTTATTTAAGACACTGAAACTGCTGGAATTGATGGCATTTACAAGGATGTTGCCTTTGTTGGTAGAGACTTGATCGCCATACAGGCGGTGTCTTGCATTGAAATCTCCAGCTACAATCACATTTTGTTCACCGTCAAGAAAGTCGCATAATCTCTGAATCTCATAACGAAAGGTTTGCACATCGAGACTGGGTGGAAAGTAGCATGAGGCCATGAAAAGATTCGGTTTCAGTTTGATGGTTTTGATGATGATGATGTCAACGGCAGAGTTATAGGGAATACGTCTGAAATTGACACCTTTCTTAACTAATATACTAACACCGCCATAGCCATCATTTCGGCATTTGGTGGCTGAGGCATAATTCGACACTTTAACTTCGAAACAATTTTCATCTTTCAGAAAAACTTCCCTTAAGATACAAAAATCAATCTTGTTTGAGTTTAAATAAAAATCTAGAAAAGATAGGTTACGTCGGACACTTTGAATATTATATTGTAAAAAGGATATCATGTTGAAACTTAAGAAAGAACCCCGGATTTCCTCGCAGTACTGGATGCTCGAACGGGGCAAGAAATAGCACAGACAGACATTTTTTCTTCAAATTTTTTAATAAGATTGTGAGGGATCATCGGACGGATACTTTCTTGAATCGCGAGAATTAATCTTTCAAGTTCTGAAGACCGCAAATAGTTGTTTGAAATTTTCGGTCCAAGAAGGCTTGTTCCAGACGACTTGGGGGGTGTGTTGGGAGAAGGCTTGGTGGGTGATTTGATAAGAGATTTGGAGGGAACCAATTTCCTTTTGACGACAGCATTGTATTTATTTTTGGTTAAGATTTTGTTGGCATTTTGATTATCATCCTTGGTCGAAATTGCAGACGTGTTCCCCAGTGGAGGGAAATCGCCGTCATATTATGCCGTCAATTTACACACTTCGGAGACTTTCCACAGTTAAGGCACCTGCTCTCTTTAGGTTTGCAGAATTTAGATACGTGACCGTATCTGCCACACACTGCTTTAAAGTGGGTACAAAGTATTCGACCGGCAGATTACAATAGTTAAATTTTATTGCCTTAGGGAGGGCTCTCCCTTTGAATCCAACTTTGATGCTGGTTATGGGAATCCACTCGTCTTTGTTGTTGGGATTTCTTCTTTGAAAACGGACAGCGGACTTAATCGGAATATCGGATACGGCGTTTTCAATTATATCATTGACACTATATGTGCATGGGATGTTTCGAATAACTCCAAATCTCTCAGTGAACGACTTCGGTATGTACGGCTTAAAAGAATTAAAAGTTGTCTGCAGGGGAAGAGCCAAACTGCTTTTCAGCTCCGCTGCCAATGCCAACAATTTTGTTATGAATAAAAAGAATTTAAAAGCGTACATACCGAAATCCTTCAAGTAATCATAGAAATAGAGATTAGAGTTAATATTGATGCGATTTCCTTCTGCGTCCGCACACGTTTCGACAAAAACGACAAAATTGCAGTTGGAAAGGCAATCGTACAAATTAATCTCGAGATTTGGGGCGGCTGTGGCACCCAAATCAGAGGGCTTGTCGATAGCCTGTTTACTAGGCGGAATTAAAACGTTTGCGTTAGCTTCTCCGTTATCAGATAAAAGAATATTCTTCTCACCCATTTTCGATCTCTTGGTGTGCCCAGTGGCGTTCATGTAAAAATTTTCAAAATTGTCTCTAGTAATTATAAGATCAGACCCAGTCTCCATAGGGAGACGGGCTGATGTTGTTTTGGTTGTTGTCACAGGGAACACAAAAAGAAAAAATCACAAAGAAAAAACAAAAAATAATAATTGAATATATGTATTGCTTCTTAATTTTTCTCTCACGAGAGATTCCTCCTAATTCCCTCCTTTTCCTTCTTAAAATTGTTTTCTTTGGTTATTTTATTACTTTATTAAACCTCTTTTCTTTTTTTCAAATATTTAAAATCTCTTTTTTTTTTTTTTTTTCCTCTTTTTTCACTAACACCGGTAAACACAAAAATTATCCAGCTGCCGTTTGCGGAGATGATGTGTTGTGTCAAGTGTGAATGAAATGCGAATGTTCTTAATTAAAAAAAAAAGAAAAAATCACAAAGAAAAAACAAAAAATAATAATTGAATATATGTATTGCTTCTTAATTTTTCTCTCACGAGAGATTCCTCCTCCTTCCCTCCTTTTCCTTTTTTCAAATATTTAAAATCTCTTTCTTTTTTTTTTTTTTTTCCTTTTTTTTCACTAACACCGATAAACACAAAAATTATCCAGCTGCCGTTTGCGGAGATGATGTGTTGTGTCAAGTGTGAATGAAATGCGAACGCTTAAGTGCTATTACAATATTTGCATTATGCTTGGCTCACGAACTGTTAAAATAAATTTGATCGCCTATATTTAGATATAGTTGAACAAGTAATTAAGTTGCGCTATGCGTTAACACCAGTTTTTAGGAAAGTTTTAACATTATTACATTCATTGTTTTTGACAGTTAAAATAAAATACGCATACTGACGTGCTTATGAAAACGAAACGAAATCATGGGCTTTTGTTTGTGAAAAACAACCTAAAGAAAGAAAAAATTAAACAAAGTTAAAAGTTAAACTAGATTAAATAAATTGTAAAAAAGATAAAAAGCTATACTTGGTTTTATTATAATTAAATATTATATTTTGTTGCTGCATTATAAATGAATACTATATTTTGTTGTATCACAAATGAATTCTATACTTTATGTTTGCTTTAGCGTAAAGCAAAATTCATGTTTTCATTACATTCATATTTCCTTAATTTATTATTTAAATAAACTTCGTTGTCATTAAATTGAGTTTTGGTTTAAATAATTTTTAAACATATCACAAAGATAAAAGACATTTCTGCTGGCGTTATTTCCCGATTATCTTGTTGCTTTGCATAATGATCCATTATGCATATTCACAAGATTATGTTAGATAACTGCGATTGTTCTCACTGCTGCGTTCTCGGGATTCATGTGGATGAGGCTTAACAGCACTCTCCGACGAGATGCTAGTTTATCGAACACATTTTCGCTGGGATAAACTGTTATTGAAAGCATCTTTGACTTGTGCTAATAGAATACCAGGCTAAACCCTCATTAGGTTTTCCCATAGAGGAAATGCTGGATCATTCTCAAAACAAATACGAAAACTTTATATTAATGCCTGTGATGCCTGTAGGTTCAGGCAGCTCTAGTCGATTTTGCCACCGTCACTTTACGACCAAGACGCTCCGATGCCAATTACAGAAAAAGTGTAGCCACATCGTACGGTGTTATTAGAACTATTGCGTGCGCGCCTAAAAGAACACGATAAATATTATAAAATGTTTTTCATGTTTCAGCGTAGCAACAGGTTACCTTTATGCTTTTAATATTGTGGACCAAAATTAAGAGGACGCACAATATTAATGTGTTTTTAATCTATAGCATCTACGCGGTGCGGAACATACCAAGTATATGACTTGTTTGGAAAAGATGAATAACACCGAGCAAGAACATCCCATAAGACGAGATAAATATCTGTCACTTCCCCCATGAGCCAAGTATTTGCAAACAACCCAACGTAAAAGTTTTTTTTGAATTCCAGTGATTACAAGTGAGAAACTTTCAGTAGTTTTAAGAACAATCGGCACTTAATACACATATATGATCTACGAAGATTTCGTTATCTTCTCCGTCAAATTTAGAGGAAGGTGAAATATTTCAAAATTCATGCGATCGTTCACTTCAAATTGCTCGACATCAATATAATGCATATAGTCGAAGGCGGTCAAAAAAAATCCATCGATCTCGGTTTTTTAAATAAGGATCTTACTTAGAGTCACTGTTCGCGGACGAGAATAACGCTCCCACACCATTTTTATTATCATAATCCCAATAATTATATCGTCGCTATCCATTTTCTTTTGTTGCTCCTTTACTTCCATATAAATCTATTATGGATTGGTAATCAATTTTAAATATTACATTAGTTAATGTAAAGTGAATTTACCATCAATAAATAATTTTTTTTCTTTTGTGTTTTACTTAAAAAACACGTTTCAAAAAAATTGTTCACTTTATTAATTTTGCATTTCTCCACTACCGTAAAGAAACGTTAACCGTACGATTTTCCTTTAGCAACGCACGCAAAATATGCGCCACGCAAAAAGCATAACACATTCGTTGTGTTAAGAGCTTTACCCCATACACCACTTAACGCTATTTTCATTGATAGAGTAATTTTTTCACACCAGAAATAAGTTGTCGGCCTCACTTTTTTGATTTTATATATTTGCATATAAGTTAGAACAAATATATTAATTTTATAATGGACAACGTACTTATTCCCCAAAATGCCTTTAGTCAGCTATGCCAAAATCAACATAATCCGGTAGAGCTTGTGGAGATTATAAAAAAACTGGACGAAATAGAAAAAAATGGATGTAAAAGCAAGTGGGAACAATATCGAATTGTGTCAGACTTTATTGATATAGTCATTACTAGCAGTGGAAATTGTAAAAATACAGAAGGGATTGCGCAAAACATTATGGAATGTGTGAATTGGTTAACACATCTCCAGCAAGTGCAACTACTACCACATTTTAATGGGCCGCAATTCGGATGCATGTTACATTGGCTTCTGCTACAAATGGAGACTCATTGCCTCGAGGACAGCGCAATTTGTACCGCATTAGTTGTTTGCTCTAGAATGTTTGCTGCACATCATGATGAATGTAGTTCTTATTTTGAAAAATTGTTCCATACCAAAAATCAGGGATTTTCGTTATATCCATATCTTTGCAACAATCGAGACTATAGAATAACCATTTCAACAATTCAATTTCTAGATTCCATTCTTAATGGTCTGAAGGATGTGCAATTAACAAGGGAGCAAGATGAAGTTTGTGTAGAAATTGCTGAGGTATTGTTACACTTCTTTTATTTTGAAGAAAAATTTGAAGCAGAACATTTGTCCACATACATTTTGTACGCTTTACAAGCACTTCATAAAATTGCTGCATTCTGTAAGGACTTTACTGCCAAGCATTTATCTGAATTGCTTGGTATTTCGAAAGCGTGCGCAAATTTTGGTACGGACGTAGGATTAAAATTGCCTATCTCTCAAAATATTCACATGTGTCAACAAGCCTTATACCATTTGGTGGATGAAAATGATGTGAACATAAACAGTGAAAAGGCGCAGGCTAGTGGCGGAAAAACACTAAAAACTCACAAGCCAAGGGCCGTAGCAAAGACTGCACGACCCGGCGATCGAAATATTGCCTTATGCAGCTCTCAATCCCCTTCCATTGGAAAAGGAATAGGCGTTTTTGAATCTATAAGGAAAAGTGATTCGGATTTTTCGGAATTGGAGAACGTTGCAAGTAAAGAATTTTATGAGCGTAATCAAAAATCTAAGATACGTTTATTGGCTATTACACTTGTGGGTACTGTGGTTCGTAGTGTTGAGCGTAGAATAGTTTTTGGATTTTGGCACGCTATCTTTCCCAGCGGTGTAAGTGGTATGTACATATATTTTACTAAATTGAGTTTTGTGCAGAGCATAAGACTATTCCTACCAGCTTAAAACTGAAGTTGTAATTTTGATTTTTATGTTTGCAATCCCATGTTGTGTATTTTATAATTCAAAAATGTTATATATAACGTCAGACTAAAGTTTTACGTATAGAAGAGAATACAACAACTACGTTTGCTTTGTGGCGAATGCTATGTACAAACAGTTAAAATATGGGAAGATCGGTCATATTTTCTTAATTCAAAGTCACTAATACAAAAATTTAACGCATATAAGAAATGTCTAAAACACCCTATCATGGATTTAGATCGTTTTTAGTGATCTATGTAAACTAAGTCAGAATACATGTAGATATCAGCTTTCTGAGTTAAACGACATACTAAAACGACATTTATGCATGCAGAAAGTCTATATAGAATGTGTGTAATTTTAAAACACTCGAAAATGCAAAATTTGGAGGAGACTTGTTTACTAATATGCACCGTACATACTTTGAAAATTGTTATGTTCATCTTTACTATAGAAACGCGAAACGACCTTCTGTACATCGGTCGCCATGATCCAAATGTGCGATGTCGCAGTGCGGCCTTACAAGTGTGCTCCCAACTCCTCTATGGATCTAAAAGTTTTCTGCACCAGGCTGAATTTAACGCAAATCGATGTCCCTCAACTTTCATACCGTTTTCTACTGCTTTGGGGTTTACAATTGTGGCAATATATGAATGCCTGGCCCGCATATTAGCTATTGAGTCATCGTTGCCCGTTTTAACTCAAGCCTTAAAATGTACTGCAGTCTTAGTGCAGGCCACACCATTGCAACAGTTGGAAAACAAACTGTTAAAGGAAATGGTGTGTAAAGTTAAACCACTTGTGTTTCATCGAGATGTGGCCATTCAGGTATCAGCCCTTATGGTGATGGAATTCATGATGGCAACACCTAGGATAACTGTTTGCATAGCTGAAGCGTTAGGTCTGCCCAAAGAATTTATAAAATTTAGTCCTCCAAATGACACGCGAATAGTGGTTACAGTAGATGAAGAAGTAGAAGGAAAGGAGTTCGCAGAGTTTGAACATGAAACCATTGAAAACAAATTAGAAAGCAATAAACTTCTTCGAAACAGTGGCAAACAAAAACTGGTACCCAATAATATGTGTAAGGACAAACTGTGGTTACTTCATCGGATTTTAGATAACCTTTATAAGCACGATCGCATCACGGCTACTTCAGTCCGCATAGAAAGTCTTCAAGTGTTAATTGCAATGTGTGGTCACTTTTTTCTATTCAGCACTCACTTGTCGCAGATTTGTGAAGCATTACAGGAAAGCTTGCATGATATTTTGTCGGATATACGTTTGTATGCGGCTCGCTGCATTGACTCTTGCGTATATCAAATTGGAAGATATATTGAAATTTTTGGTGCATCCCAATCTGTAGTTCAAGAATTCGATCATTTCTGGTCCCGTATTCTTCCTAATATAATATCACATCTACGTAGTGATAGCAATGAACTGCCGGCAATAAAAGTGTGCTTATGTGATGTTTTATCAAATATTGGTATAGTTATGTTTGAACGCTTTCCTCATTCGACTCAAATAAATTTGTTAACTTTTTTATCTGGAATAAGTAGTGATCCAACGGAAGACACCATTGTACGGGTAGCTAGCGTAAGAGCATTGGCTGCGTATGTACTCTTTCCGTTTCTTCGAAATGATTTGGTCTTCGTAGAAAATACCGCCAATATGACATTAGATTTAGCGGCAGACTCGAATTTATTAGTTCGCATCAAAGCATTTTGGTCTTTGGGAAATATCAGCGATGCTCTTATAGCCAAAGATTCTGAAACAGCACTACCGCAAGAACGAATTTCCAATGAATTGTTGTATCGTCTGATCAATGATTCGGTCAACGCTTGTAGCGACAACGATAAAGTTCGTTGCAATGCGGTGCGCACACTGGGCAATCTGTTGTGTTTATTAAATGAATATCATTTCATCGCCACCAACAGTCACCTAAATTGGCATCAATTATTCGCGGAGGCAGTGGCCAAGTTGTGTGAATGCATACGATCCTCAAGCAATGCTAAAGTGAAATGGAACACTTGTTATGCTGTTAGCAATTTAGTACGCAATGCTGATGCGTTTTCCGTTACTGAATTGAAGTGGCAAACGACTTTATATTCATCTTTATGTCATGTCATTGTGCACCATCCCAATTTTAAGGTCCGCATAAACGCAACCACCGCCATTACTAGTATAAAAGATCGTTCGCATTTTGGTACGCATTTGGACAATTTTTGGATTTCACTGCTGGCAGCCATAGAAAAATCGCATAATTTAGATAATTATCAAGAGTACAACCATCGTGATAGCTTGCAGGAGCAGTTGTGTTTGGCTGTAGCACATATTGTGCGCTGCTCTTCTAACGATGATTTGCCAATGCTGGAAAAGCATCTATTACAATATCTAGATACAATACGAAATACTTGGGTACGTGTTATTAATCGCATGGTTCCAGAGAAAGCTGCACCTTTGCTGTCTTGCTCAATTATGCTAAAGCAGCTCCTCAAAGATGGCAATCTAACTCGGGAGCAAAAAAGTAGTGTTAAAACTTTGTTTGAGAGCTTAGCTATGTAGTAAAATTAAAACGAAGTTTGTCTATGAATGTTACTAAATAAAACTCAAAAATATTTGAAGAAGTAGTAGTTTACTGGATCAACCATATTCACGAAAAGGGTGCTTACGTATAAACGCTACCGCGGCAAAACATTATTATTATTATAATTTTCTTATATTATTATTATTATATTTAGAAGCCAAAAAAAATTTTTTTTAAAGTTTATAAAGTTCATTTTTATTGGTTTTTTGATGCAATTTTTGCCGCGGTGGCGTTAATACGTAAGTACCATTAAAAGTTACAACTATTTATTTATTTAAGGGAGGAAATCACTGTAACAGATTAAAAAAGCGTGCCTTCATTGGATGCAAGAAAAGGTAATGCAACAAAAATGTCATTAAGCATCTTTACGTATTAAAAAAAGGGGATTATTTTTGAGAAATATTAAAAAAACCAAACTAGAATCATTCTCGCGAGAAATCTTTACTTTAAGGCACTCTGCGCGTCGTTAGTTACTTGCTACAAATTTGGCTCTTAAAAGAATATAATTTTAATTACGTGTCTGTAGATAGATAACTGCAGTGTTTTCCTTAAAGATCTTGCTTTCTGTCTCATTGGCGAGTACACGAATAAAAACGTTTAGTTTTTGACTAAATATAGGCAATGTTTTGTTAATAAACAATTTTTAAATGTAATCATCGAAAATTTCGTCTGCATTTCTGGAGTGAATCGTGTTGACACAAGCATTAAATAAATCTGATTTCGGTCGTTTACAAATTAAATTTATAAAGAATACATAAAAATACAATACCACCATAAGTACGTTGATTTCCAGCTCACCCGAAATCCCATTATGCCTAAAACAAGAACGTTATTATTTTGTCATCAACGAACAGCGCAAAAACATCATACAAACTGGTTGATTTTTTTCAAAAATCGCATGGCACTCAGTCTGGATTAATCATTTCACGTAAGATTCCCTTATGTAAAATCATGTTTCAATCAATTATTCAATCTATACGATGTATTTGTCGGGTGATAGTGGTCTTACCCACTTTAAAAATTTGAGATAAGTCAAAATAAATTATTCTAAATTTATGTATGAAAAATGTATGTATTAAAAAGCTGCACAAAATAACAAATGTGGTTTCTTTATAAACAAAAATAGTTCATATTAAATTGTCGCTGATCTAACAACGTGCCTTTACATTAAGTTTTGGTAAATACAAGTAAACCACCCAGTTCGAGCTCTGTATTCGTAGATTTCCCTGCGCTATGTACGACATCTACATTGTATAAATCTTTCTTTTTTCATGTTGTTTTTTTTTTTTTTATTTCTTTGCATTTCTAATGATATAGGATTACAGAATTAGGTAATATTCTTAAGTATTCCAATAGTTCTTTTTCTACAATAAAACTAATAAACTTACTTAGGACACTCAAAACGATTTTGTAAATTTCTCAACTCTTAAGGCAAAATTTACCTCATATCTTTATGTTCTTTCATGGCATTATTTAAAGGGAAGTGAAGAGATTTTAGGAATGCCTTCGCCAGAATTAGTTGAGAACTGTTATTATGGAAATTATGTTCATTTAGCGAAAATGCTCTATCTTACAGAAGAAGCAGTAGTGAAACTTGCACTACGGAAAACATATATAAAAAATATGAATTATACTTACAATTAGGTGCAATTGTTGAGGTAAACAGTATAGAGTTAGGAATATCATAATTTTATTTAAGATTGAAAGATTAATGCAAAACTATTAAAGAGGCACATGGTTAGTTCGGGTCACTGCTGAGATTTTTCAAAGTTTGCTCAAACTCTACTGGTTCTACTTTACGACGAGACAAATCAAAAGCTGGTGGACCAATCAGGTCAACCACCTCATCGTAATTTAAAGTCTCTCTTTGTAATAAAGCCAAAGCAAGCTGGTTGGAAGATTTGCAAATAATAAATTAGATTAACATCTTGCATACGGATAATAGAGACTACCTTATCAAGTTTGTCGCGATTATCTTTTAATATTTGTTCGGTCTTCTGATATGCAATTGCAATGATGTTTCTAACCTCAAAATCAATTATGTTATCTAAAGCCCTTGAGAAAGGCTTATCGACGCCGCCCGCTTCATTGGCATCTCGTACATAAATTGGTCCCAGTTTTTCGTTCATTCCAAATTTTTTAACCTAACAGAGAATTAGATTAAAAGGAAATAATTGTGTGTACAAAGTTGACCTCTACCTGAGCATATGCGATTTTTGTAACCTTTTCAAAATCATTTTGAGCTCCTGTGGTAATTCGACTAAAAACCAAATTTTCGGCAGCTCGTCCGCCAAGCGCCATACACATTTTGTCAAACAGTTCCTCTTTGCTATGCAATTGTTGTTCGCTTGGGGTGTATTGCGCAAAGCCCAAAGCTAAACTTGTTCTTGGTACTATTGTCACCTTAAGCAATATATCACTATTAGGCAATAACCAACCAATCAAAGCATGTCCAGACTCATGGTATGCAATAATCTTGCGTTCTATTAGCGTAAGCGCGTGGGACCGTTTTTCTGTACCACCTAAAAAAATATATGTGATCCGCAATCTGCCCAAGTATTCTTTTGTTTCATTATCAATTTACCAACTAAACGTTCTACAGCGTAGTCTAAATCACGAGATTTTACTTTATCCTGTATATTACGTGCAGCGTGCAAAGCAGCTTCGTTACATACGTTCGCTATATCAGCACCAGAAAATCCCGGTGTCAAGCGAGCCAAACGATGCGAATATTTAGATGATTCATCATCTAATTGTATCGTTGATAAATGCTTTTCGAAAATTTCTTTACGCTCGTGTAGATTTGGCAAATCGATGAGAATATGCCGATCAAAACGACCGGGCCTCAACAGAGCCTTTTGAAAGTATTGACGAAAATAAGTTTTTTCGAAGACCTCAAAATAAGTTTTAATCAAATTTTACCTTATCTAAAACATCTGCGCGGTTTGTGCTAGCTAACATTAACACGCCTTCTTTTGACGACATCCCGTCCATTTCTACCAATAGCTGGTTCAACGTTTGTTCTGACTCACCGGAACTACCTTGATTAAAACTTTCAGTGCCAGAGCGTTGTCGTCCTATGGCGTCTACTTCATCTATATATATAATACACGGTGCACGTTTTTTTCCCTCTTTAAACAGATCGCGCACTCTCGCTGCACCTAAACCTCCTATCATTTCAATGAACTCTGAACCATTCATGCTCAAAAAAGGAACTTGGGCTTCTGTTGCTACAGCTTTGGCTAGTAGCGTTTTACCACAGCCCGGGGGACCTAGAAGTAGAGCACCCTTAGGGACTTTTGCACCTAATCTTTGATATTTTTCAGGGTTTTTAAGATAGTCAACAAACTCCTTCACTTCTTGTTTAGCTTCTTCTAATCCAGCAACATCTTTGAATAAAACACCACGACCGCCTTCATATGGATCCACTAAAGTGAATTTAGCCCTGCTCATCTGACTCTGCTTTTCAATAATATAGAAGTAAGTTGGTTAGACTTGGTTTAACCGTACTCTTAAAAAACATACGAACGTGTCAAATCCAAGGGGATTTTTCATTCCCCTCATGCGTGACGATAACGCCATCAGCAGGGCAATAAATAGTAATAATAATAATATACGACCAGAAGAGTCACTTTGACGGTCGTATGTTATGGGCACACCTAAGAAATAAAAATTAGTCTTCATTTTATTGTTATTCGATTTATGAACCTTCTTTAATGCCAAGACGTTTTTCAATGTCGCGAAGTTTCTCCTCGAATTTGGCAGCATCAGCCACGGCCATGTGGAAAATGGTGGAAGAGACCTTTTTGCCTTTAATGATAGCTCCTTCGTGCAAAATAATGGTTACCATTTCCATATCGGGCCGTATTATCACTTCTTTAACTTCACCAGCGGCTAACATATGGTAAACGAACTCATTCCAAGAAACATAGCGTGTCGACCCCTAAAATATTGAATAATCAGTTTGTGCGTACAACCATAAATGTTCACAATCTACTTCAGGCCTTTCTCCGCGCGATGATGTTATTAAGGATATAAACACACCTAACATGTAAACAATAAATATCCAGATAATCGTTTTAGTTATAAATGACTTGATTTTGTCGTCATTATCGTTCTTATTTTCATCTGAATTATTGTTCCCGCTCTGACCTCCGGGCTCCTTTGTTCCAGTTGGTTTGATCTTTTTTTCCTTACCGCCCGAGTACTGCAGAGTGCGTGTTAACAGAGAAAAGTCTAGTTGTTGAGAGACAGATTGCACGCTGATGTTTAAAGATTTGGCAAATATTCTTCTAATCGTCTTACATTCGGTACAGAGGTGTTTTAACTACAAAAGAAAAAATGGTGATTACGAAATAGTAATTGTCATGTAAGAAGAATCCTTAAGTACCAAAAACTATTACACTTGCCTGCTTTTTATTTAATGCCTGATAGGTCATTGTTGGTAGTGTTTCCTGCCTAAATACATTCTGTTTCATATTATTTATTAATCTTTCATTAATTTTTATTATATTAGGCAGATGATATTTCCACATAATTTTGTTAATTAATAATTCGTTCCTTTACTTGCAAATTTGAGTACAAATATATGTTTAAGCGGACCTTCGTTTTCGATGTTGAGTTTAAATTAAGTTTACGTGAACTAAATGTACAGTTTTTTGGTAGACTGTAAAACTCCCACCCATAATTTTTGCTTTCCTAATAGCCTTATCGTGACATTATTGCCGCTCGACTACTATAAAATTTGTATTTTTGTCTGGCTGTCATTGTTGCTGTCGCTATGTAATTAAACCTCATATTCTAGAGCAAAAGGGGATAACAAAAACTTCCCGTATTAATTTAGTGCTAGAACAGGGTGGTTAACGTACGAAAATCACAAGATTAAATCTCAAACGAAAGAAGAATGTAAGTCTTGCCACAATAGCAAATTGTTTAGTTTTTCGGGTTAATAAGTCCCAAGAGATGAACACAATAAGAAGTTGCGTGAGCGTATTTCTTAAAGCTAAAGCAATCGACGTAAATGCAAATAACATATATACAAAAGATAACGATAAGAAACTTAACATAAAAGCAAATTACATACTTTTTTTATTTATTTATTTTTTTTTATTATTTTTTTTTTTTGGTATGTTGAACAGAGATGGACTAAGCCAATAGATTTGTGGCTTATATGTCCAAATAATAAATTGTTGTAATTTTTAGTCACGATTACGTATAAAACGTAACAAAAAAAAAAAAACAGCGGCCGTAATAACTGGAGTGAGCATGTTAAATGTAATTGCGTGCGTGTGTGTAAGTGTGCTTGTTGAGTTCTTGAAAGTCAGACAGTGTTGCAAACTTTGGCTCAAAACGAAAAGGAATGTTATGGTAATTGAAAATGATTGAACGCAAAAAAATCATCCATGCATCTGAAATTAAGCTGAAAAAATTTGTAGTTTTCTCTGACAGCAAATCTGCTTTAATTTTAATCAAGAACAAAGACCCATTCAATAAGTATGTCTTCGATATCTACAACCTTTTAAAAGACCCAAGTATTGAAAAATGCCACATCATCTGGATCCCAGGTCACTGTGGTTTTAGTATCAATGAAAAAGCTAACTTCCATGCTCGTCAAGCTAGGTTTGATGGTACAGTTTTGTCCATAAACTACCCCCCCAGCGAAGCTTTTCTGCTAGTCAAAACACTCATCATAAAAGAATGGAAAGATGAGTATCATGTTTTAGCTAGAGAAAAAAGTGACCGGCTGTTCTACAAAATTTACCCTCTTTTGACACCCACGCTTCTACCTAAAGGAAAATTCACAACATGGGAATTTAAAGTTCTTCACCGTCTTATGAGTAATCACACCTACGACAAGGTTTATTTTAAAATGATCAAAGTCTCCTCTTCTGACATCTGTGAAGATTGCAATATTACTGAATCTGCCGAGCACCTTATTTTTGAGTGCAGGAGGTTTAACATCCTTAGACAATCTTTCAGTATCTTTAACCTGTATAACAATTTATATGAAATTTTTCGTGCTGGTAACTTTAGGCATTTGAAGCAACTGACTGCCTTTATCAAATCAGCTGAGTTTTCATTCTAATTTTACATTTAGTATTTCTATTATTACAGTCTTCATGCTGTCGTTGGGGTGTACACAACCAACTTCAGCGTGTTACTCAATTGAAATAAAGAAATAAAGAAAAGAGTCAAACATAACCTAGAAAGCAAAAAATTGAAAAAATCTTAGTAAAAAAGCATCATTATTTCATCATCACGTGAAATTATGAATATCAGTAATGGATTTATAGTTACTGGATTATGGATCTAAATTTAAGTTAAAAGGTCCAATCCATATCAAATACAAAAAAAAAAAAATAAAAAAAAAAAAATAAAAAATAGTATTTCTATTGCAATCACGAATCGCCTACACTTTTTCTTTTATCGGCATTATTAGCCGGATCTTGACGGTACAGTACCAAGTACGGTGATTTATGGATTGACAGCGGAACAGAGCCTCTCATTGCGAACACTCTGCCACATCAGTCTACCTATGCTCAAATTTTTTCATCAATCGCTCTCAACTTCGTTTCTGGATTATGGACCTAACATTAACTTAACTGGTCCAATCCATTTCTAAACAAACAAAAAAAAAAAAAAAAAAGAACGCAAAAAAAGAAAAAACAAAGGAAAGAGGTGGAAAAAGAAAAATTCTAAAAGGATAAATTGGCTTTTCTAATAAAGAAAGTTAGCTCCCCGAGATGACGTACATTTTTTGCTGCAAAGAGATCGAGGAGACAGCCATATAACTTGAAGAAGCTAAAGGAATCTCTAATGCCATCAAGCCTGTGACATCTGAAGATTAGATGCTCAGCAGACTCAACATCATTGCAAACTTCACAAACATCACATGGTATAGCGCGAATCATTTTAAATAAACTTGGTCATAAGTGCGACCACTCATTAGTCTATAAAGAATTTTGATTTCCCAGGAATTAAAAGAAAATACAGAAAAGGGCTTGAATTGAAATGTGGGATTTAATTTGTAGAAAGGACGATTGGATTTAACGCGCGCGATCTCTTTAAATCCGTCGTTTAGCTG